TACTTTTGCTGGATTCAAATCTTCTCTTAACCCTAAGCATAAACTTCATAAGAACTCAACTTTTACACAAATAAATCATAGATAAAGAGCATGAATTCTTACCTTTTGATGCCTAGAATCAAAACCCTATGAAAATCTACTCAAAAGCCCTCAAATTCCTTGGAGAAGTGAATGAAAATTTGAGAGAAAATGGAGGAGGAGAGTGGCGGTGGAATGAAGGAAATAAGGGTTACAAACCCTTATCATCTTATTTTATAAATATGCTTTCCCATTTTACCCTTACACTTTTTTGAAAATTCCATCCTTGTCCCTTAGTCAATTACCATAATGCTCTTATTTTTATTGTATTCTTTATGAAATTCCGAGGTCAAGTTATCATCAGGTAAAGGTGGCAGAACCAGATGTAGCTAAGACTGCCTTTCGGACAAGATATGGGCATTATGAATTTGTGGTAATGCCTTTTGGGTTAACTAATGCCCCAACAGTTTTTATGGACTTAATGAACAGGGTGTACCATGATTGTCTAGATCAGTTTATCGTGGTATTTATTGATGACATCCTGGTTTATTCGAAGTCGAGAGAAGAGCATAAGGAACATTAAGATTTGTGCTGCAACGATTGATAGAAAAGAAGTTGTATGCCAAAGTTTTCTAAATGTGAGTTTTGGCTTGATCGGGTGATATTTCTTGGCCATGCTGTTTCTAGTGAGGGAATTTCAGTGGATCCTAGTAAAGTAAAGGTAATCCTAGAATGGCAAAGGCTGAAGACAGTAAAAGAAGTGAGGAGTTTCTTGGGACTAGCAGGTTACTACCGCCGGTTTGTGGTAGAGTTTGCCCAGTTAGCTAAGCCATTGACAGCTCTTACCAAACAGAAAGTTCTTTTTATATGGTCAGCTACCTGTGAGGAGAGTTTTCAAGAGTTAAAGAAAAGATTAACGACAGCTCCAGTGTCCGTGTTACCACAAGAGGGTGTAGATTATGACATTTATACAGATGCCTCACTGCAGAGACTTGGCACCGTATTGATGCAATTAGGTAGGGTTATAGCTTATGCTTCTCGTCAATTGAAAGAGTACGAGACAAGATACCCTATACATGATTTAGAGTTGACAGTAGTAGTCTTTCCCTTGAAGATTTGGAGGCATTACCTTTATGGTGCCAAGAGCAATATCTACACCAACCATAAGAGTTTAAAGTATTTCTTTACTTAGAAGGAGTTGAATATGAGACAGAGAAGATGGTTAGAGCTGGTTAAAGATTATGAATGTGAGATTAAATATCAGCTGGGAAAAGCTAATGTGGTAGCCGATGCTTTGAGCAGAAAAGCTTATTTGTCCCGACTCACAAGACAGAAAGAGTTAATAGAAGAGTTGTGTAAAGAGCAGATTGAGGTCATACCAGGAAGGATTGCCTGGTTAGAGGTTCAGTCTACCTTACTGGAGGAAATTAAAGAAAAGCAGCAAATTGATGAGTGGTATCAGAAAACAGTTCAGCAAGTGCATGAGGGCAAGGTATCAGAGTTTCGATTGTTGAATGATGTTCTCTGTTTTAGGAGTCGATTGTGTATTCCTCAGGATGATGAGTTGAGAAAGAGAATCCTTATAGAGGCTCATGACACACCATACACTGCTTATCCTAGAGAAACCAAGATGTATCAAGATTTAAAGAAAGACTATTGGTGGCCAAGTATGAAGAAAGATATTGCAGAGTTTGTAGCTAAATGCCTGACTTGTCAGCAATTGAAAGCAGAACACCAAAGGCTATCAGGGTTTCAGCCATTTAATATTCCTGATTGGAAATGGGAGAGTATTTCGATGGATTTTATTACAGGTCTCCCTAGAGTGAAGAAAGGATATAATGTTATATGGGTGATAGTAGACAAATTGATGAAATCACCCCATTTTCTTCCAGTAAAGGAGAGTATCACTTTGGATCAATTGACCCAGATGCATATTAAAGAGATAGTGAGACTCCATGGTGTACCCAAGATAATAATATCAGACAGAGATTCTAAATTTGTCTCAGCTTTCTGGATGAGTTTACAGAGGAATTTGGGTACCAGATTGGCTTTTAGTACTGCCTATCATCCTCAAACAGATGACCAGACAGAGAGGACAAATCAAGTGCTTGAGGACATGTTGAGAGTATGCTGTAGGGATTATAACGTATCCTGGCATGAGATGTTACCTTTGGTGGAGTTTGCTTATAATAATAGCTACCAGTCTACAATTAAGATGGCTCCTTATGAGACTTTGTATGGTAGACGGTGTAGATCTCCACTGCATTGGGATGAGATGGGCGAGAGAGAAGAGTTGAATATAGCTCTTGGGCCAGAAATGACTCAGAAAATGATAGAAGATGTAAAGCTGATCAGAAGTAGAATGAAACAAGCCTAGGATAGGCAGAAAATTTATGCTGATCTGAAAAGAAAAGAAGTTAAGTTTGAAGTGGGTGATAAAGTTTTTTTGAAAGTTTCCCCTTACAAATGGGTGATGCGTTTTGGTAATAAAGAAAAGTTAACACTGAGATTCATTGGTCCATTTGAGGTGTTACAGCGAGTAGGAAAGGTGGCCTACAGATTAGCACTACCACCCAATATGGACAGAGTTCACAATGTATTTCATGTCTCGATGCTTCGAAAGTATATAAGTGATCCCTCCCATATTCTGAGCATAGAGGACGTAGACTTAGAAGAAAATCTTGTGTATGAGAAGCAACGAGTACAGATTTTGGACAGAAAAAGTAAAGAGCTCCGGAGCAATAGTATCCCTTTAGTGAAGGTCTTCTGGAGAAATCATAAAGTTGAAGAGGCTACATGGGAGACAGAGCAAGATATGCAGAACCGTTACCCAGAGTTGTTCGTTTGAATTTCAGGGACGAAATTCCTTTAAGGGAGAGAATTGTAACTCCCAACATGGAGGTACATGATTTAAATTATGTTTTATAGCCCTTAGCTAATTTTTTGTTAGAATTATTTTAAGAGAATATGAAGAAAATGCCTTAAACTTGTATTAAGGGTAAAATGGTCTTTTCACTCAACATTAGTTAAAATTGTGGGGAGTGAAAAGAGACAGAATTTCATAGAAAATACAATAAAAATAAGGGCATTATGGTAATTGACTAAGGGACAAGGATGGAATTTTCAAAAAAGTGTAAGGGCAAAATGGGAAAGCATATTTATAAAATAAGATGATAAGGATTTGTAACCCTTATTTCCTTCATTCCACCGCCACTCTCCTCCTCCATTTTCTTTCAAATTTTCATTCACTTCTCAAAGGAATTTGAGGGCTTTTGAGTAGATTTTCATAGGGTTTTGATTCTAGGCATCAAAAGGTAAGAATTCATGCTCTTTATCTATGATTTATTTGTGTAAAAGTTGAGTTCTTATGAAGTTTATGCTTAGGGTTAAGAGAAGATTTGAATCCAACAAGAGTAGAAAGCTTAGGAGAGACTACTCAAGCATAAGTAAGTAAATTTCACCCAAAATCCAACTCAAGTTAAAGTTTAAAAAAATCAAGTGAATAGAGATTTCCTTTAAATACGTATATCTTATGATTATTGAGAAACTGAGATGAGATTGATGATTATTTATGCTTGTTGTTGGATATATTTGAATATGAGGAGTGTATGTGATGGTTTGATGATGGGTTGAAATTGGAAGAATTGGAGAAATCTTTTGGGAGTGTTTGTGCCGTGTAGGTATGGTGATGATATAAAAGAGTTTTTTCTCTCAATTTGGGTGGTTTAAGAAACCAATAGAATGATAATTAAATTATGGTTTGTTCATGCACAAGTATTGTTTAATGAAATGCCTAAAAGAAGTATGAGTTGAGTAGAAACCTTAATTTTATGCAACAATGCATATGTGCATTTCATAAGTGCATGTAAGTAAGAAATTTTAAGCATGAGCCATCCATATGCATATAATTGTGTATGTGTAGAAACTTAAGAAAGAATGAAGAATAAAGAAAGAAAGAATAAAACACTCTAAGAATAAAGAGAAAGGAAGAATAAGTTGTGATGGGGAACTGTGAGTGTTAAGAAGAAATTCCCACATACACGCCACCTTAATTGAGTGGCATAAGAAGAAGAAGAATTGTACGGCCTGTAAGAGTGTATGTGGATGAAGGTTGTACCGAAAAGAATTCCTACATGCACGCCACCTTAATTGAGTGGCCTAAGAAGAAAGAAGAAGTTGTACGGTCCACAAGAGTGCATGTAGATGAGGATTGTACTCACTCACACAGCCAAGGTTCCAAATCCATATATCAACAGAGTCCGATCGGCAAAAAATAAGAAAAGAAAGAATAAGAATAAGAAAGAATGAGAAAGAGAAAGAATAAGAAAGAATGAGAAAGAATAAGAAAGAATGAGAAAGAATAAGAAAGAATGAGAAGGCTTGAACAAGCCAAGAAAAGAAAAGAAAAGAAAAACACGAAAGAAAAGAAAAGAAAAGAAATAGAACAAGAAAATAGAAATAAGAAAGAAAAAGCATTTTATGCATTATTGCATATGCATTTTATTCATGCATATTGCCATGAATTTCATCATGGTTAGGAAGAATAGAAAGAATAAGAAAGAAAGAACAGAGAGAAATAGAAAGAAAGAAAAGAACGGTGAGAGTAAGAAACGGAGAAAGAAAAGAGAAGAAAGTAAGTAAGGAAAGAACCTAAGAAGGAGAAGAGTTAAGGGATTTACTTACTGAGCATTTTTATGCTCACCCCGTTGTTTTTCCATATTTTTGCAGGAAATAGGTGAGCAGCGGTCGGAAGGACATCAACAAGCGAGGAGGATTAGCATTAGCATTACTGTCCACTGTCGCTAAGTTTTTGTACTTGTTATTTTGATGTATGTAAAGAATTATGTTTTGTAAATAAAGAAAAATTTGGGTCCAACTATTTTCATATACTAATTATGTATGTTTTTATTATATATGTTCGAAAGTATACTAGTAGAAAGCAGTTATTACAAACATATCTGAAGAGCCAGTGATCCTAATCCAATCACTGTTTCTAGCCTGCATCATTAAAGAACTGTTACCATAAGAATTTCAACTGCAATACTTTTTTATTGTAAGCAATGTATTACTTTCAGGCTTCTTTCAACAATATAAACTTCACATTAATATTAAACTGCAAGTAAAATCAAGGTGTTATTTGAATATCATAAAACCAATGTGATAGAAGAAGTGTGCCTCATAGATTCCTTCTTGATAATAAATTCCCAGTAGATTTTCATCATATTTGTTCACACAAAATATCAACACTTAATATAGCTCAAAAACATACATCAGCAGAGAGACAATTTTAACAAACTGAGACACACAAATGCTTGTGATGCATAAGAGGGAGACAGAGATAACCAGCTTACCTGCAACAATGAAACTAATGAGATGGCAGACATAGTAAGTGATGGTCCGATGGGGGCTTTAACAACTTGGAACTAGAAGTCGAAAGCACTTTCACACCTACAAATTATGTTAACCATAAACAACTCAGAAGCAAAATCCGATTACCAAAATGCCAAATTAAAAGCTTTGAGAACAGCATAGGCACAATATAAACATAATTTATGTTTGACATACCAGACAATTAGCTGCATTCACTGAATGTACAATCCCTTGATAAAGTACAGGAGCCCGTTATTGCGGCAATGAGACCACTCCCAGCTCCACCCATTCATATTACGATGTCATTCTTCTCAAATTATTATAAACTATACACCGAGCTGTTTAAAATGTAACATACCTGAATCTATGTAGGTCCAAGAATAATATCAAATTGAAGAACATTATCACTAGCAATCAATGCATGAATACGATCATCAGCCATCAATGTATGATTACGATCATCCTCACTGTCTGAATCGCCAGTAGTTTTTGTGATCAATAACTAAAACCAATGAATTCTATTATTAAGCAAATAACATATCAAAACCAAGTTAATCTTTTTCTTTTAATGAGATGAGCTGTGATATTAGCACTGACCTCATCAAAATCAACTCCACAATCTGTGACAATTTTTTGATCAAATCAGATGCAGATACAGATGCATCAATGGCTAAGATCAATTAGTGACCAGAGCCAAGGAAATCAAGCACGGCATTCACATTTAATGATTCACCGTACCCTAAAATATTTGCGATGTAAAACTAACAATTCAATTAACAAACAGAGCAAGAAAATGTTAAATTTTGATTGAAAGGGAGAGATGAGGAGCAATGCGTGGTACATGGAGAGGCCGTAGAGTTGGAGAGAGAGTTTGGGATTGTCGGGGAGTCTAAATTGAAGGTCAAAGCCCTAAAATTTAAGGGAGTTAAAAGAAAATGGTGAGAGAGGTTGGGATCTGTTGGGTTTTCTGGTGAGAATGGTAGAAAGCAAAGAAGCGGTAAAAGTGAGATTGAAGCGCTGAAATGGGGAGTTTTGACACTCTCTTGGCTGGAGGATTGCAGGGAATCGGAATTTGGTTTGTTTGAGCTAAGCCGTTGAATAGTGAAATGAACACCGGAGTGGAGGGAGGACAATCTGGAAGTTTCACCGTATAATGTTTTATTACAAGAATATTATATTAACCAAATAAAAAATTACTTTTATAACATTAAAGATTATAGGGGGAATATTTAGAAAATATATTTGGTTGATTGAGTAAATTAGTAAATACTCCCTCCGTTTTTTTTTAATTGTTGTTTTAAGAGTTTTTAAAATTTTCAAAATTAAAGTCCTTCTGCCTTGTCTTTTATGCACCTTTCATCATGCCTTCTTCATTTTTTATCATGCCCTCTCTCTTTCCATTTCATCTTGTCATTTCTCTACTTTTTGCCTCTGTCTCTCTTTAATCTTTTATCTTATCTTATCTCTTCCTCTCTTCTCCTCTCTTCCTTATTTGCCATCGCCACTTCTTCTTTCTCTAATCTGTCTCTGCTTCCATCTTTTCTCTCCTTTTCTTGTCTTCCTTCTCTATGTTCCTCTCTCCACTTATTTGAAAGCACCCTGTCGTCTTCAATGTCCACCTTCACTTCCTCTTTCTTGAGCCCTGGAAGATCAGCCTTGAACTCGTGAGCTTTTGGGGTTTCCTTCCAGTCCACACAGGTGTTAACAAAAGCTGAAGTTTCTTGAGGGAGTTGAGAGGAGAGTGACGATACAGATGATGGGAAAGGAAAGTCCTTGAATGAGTTACAGACGACGCGGAAAGAGAGGATGTCTATGCGTGTGGCGAGGCGTTTAGCGATGGCGTTGAGGAGAAGTGCGGGGAGAGTGGACTAGTCTAGTTGAGTGGTGTCCATGGGAGAAAAAGGAGAAAATGGGCGTTTGTGGCAGTTGCGTAGTAGATTTGAGTTTAGAAATTTGTGATGTTTTTTTTCTTATCAAAATCATTGTCAAAATCAATTTGTGATGTTGTTGCATTATTGTCAAATTTGTGATGTTGTTGCATTATTGTGTTCCGCACAGAATCAAAGAGAACAGAAACGAGTGAGGGGTGAAAAAATTAAAGAACTGGAGCAGCGTAAAAGAAAAGAAACAGATGAAGTTGGTGGGCGAAACAAATGCAATAAGACAAAATTGTTAAAAATGTTATTTAAATAAGCGGGAAAGTTTCCCATTTTCAAAGTCTCTCCCACCTGCAAAATCAGGAAAAAAAGTTGGTGGGAGAGAGAAATTTTTTTTTATTAAAACCTGTGCCCACACCTAAAACGTCAATAAAAAAAAACGGAGGGAGTAATTTATTTGATTGTGAAGATAAATAGATGGATATGATAGGTAGATTATTAAATAACTCTTCTTTTTAAATATTAATATAATAGTATTTTTATTAATAACCAAAAACGTTTTAAACTTAACAAAAACACTCTAACAAACAAAAACGTTTTAAACTTAACAAAAACAACCCTACCCACCCCAAGCCACTACCAGCAGCCAACCACCACGGTCGGCGGTTGCCAACAGTGCGACAAATATGACCGTGACGCCAGCAATGTCATAGATTTGGCCATGGTCGTTTCACGGCCAAAGATGTGGCCGTGAAATGGCCACAGATTTGGCTGTGAAATGGCCAAGTCTTTGGCCGTAAAACACCGACCATTTCACGGCCACATCTGGCCGTGGATTTGCGATCCATGGTCGGAAAAGGCCTCACCAGTGCACAGTTGGCCATATACGGCCGATCGTGCGCCATTATGGCGACTTTTAGCAACCTCTAGCGGCAATCCACGGTGGTTGGCGGTGGTGGCTAGTTCTATGTACAATGACATTTCTGTAAATAATGACAATAACAAGGATAATGTCATCCGAAAAATTTAAAAGGTAAGGACAAAAGAGTCTACATGAGTGAATTGGGTGTTTTGTAAATCTTAATAAATAGAAGGCTAATTTAGACCAAATGCTCAACTGTTTAGGGGCAATATGGGAAACAATTTTTACAAACCAACCAAATATTTTTATCTACTCAATTTAAAAAATATTACCTCAATTATCTAATATTAACCTCATCCAAACAGTCCCTCAGTCTATAAATGGAAGGTGTGTTGTTGTTAAGCCCGTTAGTTATCTTGTAAGGCCCATTATACTATATATTTTTATTAGTTTTAAGGCAATATTTTTCTATTAAAACCAAAAGTTAAATGTCACTTTCTTGTTTAACAATCACAAATTTTATTCCAAATTCCATCCAAAAGTTTAAAAAAAATATATTTGATGGTGATACGAACAACAAGCATACTACCTCATGCCACACAACAGAATTAGAAACCGTATTAGATGAGACTCTAGTCCTTTGTTTATTATAAACCATCATACTATGATACATGACTTTTTTAATCTAGAGACTAGAAAGTAGAAACCCAATTATATAATTTGTATAATAATTATTTAAATATGAAATACAATTAACTTAAAATTAGTTTTCATCATCAAATGCAATAAAAGCAGCATTAAAACTATTTAAACAACTTTTCATAGATTTTTTTTTAGTAGCCAGAGGTGTCTGAGTCAACTTACGCATATCTCAGCTAGTCTTTCGGAACCTTGAAGTAAATGGCTAAATAAGCCTCTAATGGTTACCATTTATTAGTAGTTGTAGGATTTGAACTCAGGATCTCTTGAATAATACATCTAAAAGTCTTAAGCGAACCACCAAGCTACCTAGAGAGTTGAGCAGGGATGTCCGAGTCAGCTTACGAGCACCTCAGTTAATCCTTCGGGGCCTTGAAATTAACGATCAGATAAGCTTCCAATGGCTATCCCTTATTAGTGGTTGTGAGATTTAAACTCAGGATCTCTTGAGTAATACATCCAAAAGTCTCAACCGAACTGCCAAATTACCTAGGGAGTAAAAGTAATTCTTTTCATAGAATTTTTATGTAGTGAAAGCTTTGTCTGTAGAGTAGCGTTAAAAATAGAAAATAAAACTTTAAACCCGGTGAGCTTGGAGCCTCTTGCCCTAGGCCATAGTTTTGGTATTATGGGGTATCGAAAATATGAAAGTGAGAGTCTTTGTTTTCAAGTCTTGAAAGATGAGGGGTTAAAAAGTGCTATGACAAACAAACCGAACGGCTATGTTTCCAGGCGTCCCGTCCTAGCCTTTAAACAAGCGTTTCAGCCCAATTGTTAAAGGGTTGGACCTGACGTTGGTCCTTGACCGTAGGGCTACATGTGCATTGCCATTGGGTTAAGCTATTCCCGCCAGTTACGAACAATATTTCATGACTGCAAGTTCATCTTTAGTATGTCACTTATACATATCAACAGTATACTAAAATCGTCAATAAAACATTAATTCTCTGATATGTAGACATTTAAGATTGTTTTTAAAGTATCAAAAACTATTAAATGATAATGAAGTTCAAAGATCTTAAATGGTCTACAATAACTAATATTTAAGTTTTTTTGTTTATTTTAGTAGTTTCAAGTTTAAACCATGGCAGGTTTACCTTATTAAGTGAAGATTNTGGTTGACGGATCAAACGTATGTCGAAGCCATCCTTAGTAGCATTACTTTGAAAATACTCATCATCCAAACCAATATGAGGTTTCGCATTGTCTTGTTGGATAAATATTGGACTTCCTGCATCAATTCTTGGCCACTTATCTCGGATAGCCGGCAAGAGTTTCTCAATTATGTAAGATCGATAAATTTCCTTATTGATAGAATTGATTGTTTTAGTCTCCATGGTTCCGGCAGAACAATTTTTACTACTCCTCCTTGCAAGTTCTTTATTTACGAAAGGAAATATCCCGATTTTTCCAGAAAATAATTCATTCCCTGATTCATCAAACCTTGGGCGTGTCACTGCAGTCAGAAACATGACTTTAGTAATAAAAGTCTTACTCTTACATGTGCGTAAAGGCTCGTCTTCGTCAGGCAGGAGTTAATACTTCTTTGACGGCTTTGTCATGTAGAACCACTCCTCATCAACATGAATAATATTTTCCATGGTTACAAACCCCAAACAACTGGGGTTGTTGCAATGTTCAATCATCGATAAACAAAAGCGTATTCTAGCTTTCATGTTTTCCACATTCAATAAAGGTTTTATAGCATTTGAATGACAACGTATGGAGCCCTTTTTTAATCGCCTAAACAATGTTGTCACTGACAAATTTGTGACAGCAGATAAAGACCTCAGTGACGTCCTTCTTCGCAATAGAATATTTCAAAATTGACTGACGTCAATTTCAAGACGCTTACGCCCACAATTGAGTGTCTTTCTGCTAGATACATTAGTGTTAGAATCCAAAACTTCATTTTCTTTTCCCCGTTGCCAAATGTGTTGGACTGTACGCATACTAACTGAAAATAATTGAGCCACCTCAGATGTAGTGTTTTTCTTCAATTGTCCATTAACACTTTGCTTCAATAGAGATTCAAAAATTGCTTGTCTTTGTTCATTTGTAAGGTTTTTTCGACTCACATGTGTATTAACTTTTTCGGTTATGTCATCAACTTCATTCTTAGCTTCTAATGTTGGAAGAACATTTAAATCAATTTCCCCAAGTACACCTCTATTATTACATTGTTTGGCCATGATGATTGACCGAACAGAATTAAAGAGAACAAAAACGAGTGAGGGACGAAAAAAATTAAAGAACTGAAGCAGCGTAAAAGAAAAGA